AATTACAATAGTTACATAAGAAACTTCAAAAAAATTTTCTAATTGTTTTGAGTTTTGAGTCGATTGATTTTCATTTTCATTATTTACGCTAAATCAAAAACAAAAACAAATTGATTTAACATATAAAAACTGCAAGTTTACATTATAGTATTTATACGCAGCATTCTATACTAAGCATGAACTATGAATTAAAATGGGAGTGTAATCGCAATTTCGAGTCAATTTTACAATCCATTCGTGTTATCAATATACAAAAGTTAATTCTGTACTAGGCAACGTAACCCCAAACTAATAATTTGCAAAAAAAAAAACTCTAGAAAGAAAAAATATATACGAATATAAATTATTATTCCAACACGAATGATTAAATCTGTTCGCAACTTTTCAAAATTCCTCATTCTCGTGTTTTCTTTTTTTTTTACTTCTTGACTCTTTTTAACTCTTTGCGATCCAGAATGATTTAAAAAGAAATAATATTTCGTGATAATTTTAGAAGCTACATTTTTTTATCTCAAGATTATTACAATCAATAAATAATAAATTGATCGATACTATCGCCAGTGAAAATTATAATAAATAAGATATTGTTTTTGTCAGCAAAAAATGATTGTAAAAAATGATTGTAATTGTTCCTATCGTCAATCGCAAAGAGTTAAAAATATAAATATTAGTTTCTAATTTGATCTTATTCCATCGTTTGTCGATCACACTTCGACTTGAAGGGGACTGGGCGGGCGGAATGATTGGCAGCAGCCCCATGAAAAATACCACGTGGCTCAGCACCTTGGCGAAAATTTTGGATTTGTAGGACCGTGAATATAACTCCTGAGTTCTTTCGGCGGTTCCGAGCCCAAGTCCGACGCCGTATCCACATCCGACTTTCGACAGATAATCATACGGATGTCTGTATGCAGGTAGATTCGACCTGATTTGCTGGACATAAATCTAAAAAGAAAATTCATTTATGCTTTTCATAATCGACCTACTCATAAGTCAGTCCTGACGTATAAGGCGTTTTTGTATTAAAGCTGAATTGTATAAAATATTAAAAAATGTCAATTTTTTAATTCTTTAAAATTTACAATTGACGTCTCATGCGATGTATTATTTATATTTTGACCTGATTGTTTATATAATCGATTTTCAAAGCCATTTGGACATGTATGATACGTACCTAAGATGAACGAGGTAGCGTAGTGTTTTGTCTCGCAGTGTTCTTTGACGTAAAAAAGTATGAGATCGCGGCGGCATATCGGAAAGATCGTATAATACTACGAACATCTTAACGACTGTACCCAATGGATTGAGAAGAGTCACTTGGATAGTGCCACTTCTTGGTACTTGATAGCCCTTTTTCTCGAGATTAATATGAGCCTGTAAAATAACAGCATAAATAATACATCATCATACACGTAAGGTAAGTAAATAATACATCATCTATGTAAGGAAAATATCTGTAATATTTCCTGAATAATTATTAGCTATTATTTATATCATCAAGAATTTTAAGATATATTAAAGCAATCGGTTTGTTGTTTAGAAAAACGTACAAGGTACGGTGTGGAGACTTTATCGTTGTCACCGAGCGTATAGAAGAATACAGTGACTGGAAGCTTTTGATGCTTCGGGCAGAAGGAACCGCTAGCTCCGAGTTCCGCTGTGAAACCGTGAACCGTGGATACTGGTTCGAGTCTACCGTTCAATGCCGATTCTTCGAAACTGCCTAAAAGAGCGTGACTTTGCGGTCGGTGGCGAGAACTAGAACGTCTTTTGGGTGTCTCTTCACCCTCGCCAGAGATTTCTGCATCGCGGTCGGTTTCTTCCAACGAGACTGCACCCGGACTCGGTGGTGTATTCAATTCAAACAACGCGCTAAAAACGCAAAATATTATTTTAGAGAAAAAAAATTATAATAGTAATATTAGTTCAATGATAAAAAATATTGTAGCCATATTCTTGATCATACTTTCTTTTAGAAGAGACGGAATTCAGGCTACTATCGTAATCGAAGCAACAACTGCCTCTCCTCAATGGCGCTGGACTAGAAGTCAACGGTAAACCAGTCCTGCTATGGAACACCATCGAAGCTGCGTTTTCCAGAGATCTACGAAATTTTTCCTGCTCGAGTGCGGATGGCACGCTTTTATCGACAGTTTCATCATCTCCTGTCTCCGTGATACTGTCCTTGTAATTGTTGTTTCGCAGCTTGGAAGACGAATGTCCGCTCTGCGGAATAATCGGAGTAGTCAAATTATTCTTCTGAAGAAGAGAGATGTCCTTCGTATTCTCATCTTGCTCCTTGTTCTCCACAGATTTCTTCGTATCTCCGAGTAACCGCCTGTCGCAATGATTCTGCTGATTGTTTAGGCCCTCTGAATCGCATTTGCGATCATTACTATTTGTACTATGTGTATTGCGTGACTTTTGATGTGCGACTTTTGTACTGAACGTTGTAGTATCCGCTTTTTCCTCGGTAGCCTCCAGAGAGTTCGCAAAGTCGATTCGCCGTTTCGTCTTGCTGTATCTTACGTTATGCAGATTCGGTTGTTCATTATTGTAACGGAAAGATGCCACGTTAAAGCGTTGTGGCAGCATTGGACTCGACGAGGTCTCCGGGGAGGAAGAAGACTCGTCCATCATAGCGATCCTCTTATCTACTTCTTTCTTAAACATCTGTCGGAACCGATGGAATCTTTTATTTAGTGGTAAGGATTTTTCATCGTTGGACGAGGTGATTTTGTGATCCTGCTGCTCGAGCTTCTCGATGCTCGAAAAATGAACATCATCATCGCTACTATCGTCGTCAATGCTAGACGTCAACCTCAATCTGGTCCCGTTTGATGAAGTATCCGACGGATTTTTTCGGTCCTTGCTGGTCCGCAAAATGGCTCCAAGCAGCACGTCCGCTTTAGTGGAAACGTTTTGCAAATGATCTGCATCTTCATTTGCGCGTATTCTCGCTTGCGAATCCTCGTTTAGGCATCCATTAGTGCTTTCAACGAGCTTTGAGTGTGCTGGCTGATAAACATTCTTGTCATAATAGATCCGATCCAAAGGGCTGGATTGCTCTTCCAGCACTTGATGATCTATTTTTTTGCACGATCCACGGCTGCAATCTTCACAAGATGTAAATCGAACTTTTCTAACGTGACGATTTGTCAGATTATCCTGAATTACTCCGTCCTCCGAGCTTGTACATTTTGTTGTAATCTTTTCCACTACGTCATCATTGCCTCTTTCGAATCGCTCTCCACGTTTCCTTACGTTCTTAACAGTGGCTCTTCTACGTCCCGACGGTGTCCTCGCTCGCAGCACCGCCAACACTTCGTCAACTTCTCGCTGGCTCAGTTCGAGATTACAGTTCTTAAATTTAATCTCGTTGGTACTCTGTTGCCCATTCGGATATTCCGATTGTTTCAGGTTTTCATGTTTCATTTTGTTGTTATCAACACAGCCCTTCGTAGTCGCAACACCCAAAACTCTTCCAGGTACTTTGCTAAACCAATCCAGTAATCCTCCTTCTTCTCTCTTTTCTTTTTCGTCCGGAACCGACAATTTCCATATTAATTGATTAAAATCCGATTTTCCGGTTTTTTTCTGACTATTTCTGGCAGTGCCGTCTTCCTTGTTAATCTCCAATGCATCTTGACCGGCCGATACTTGTCTCTCCGCGATAATTTTATGGATATTTTTAGGATAACTCTGATGTACGATACAAGCGGAATTGTCTAACGTTTTCTGCGTCCATTTATGCGTCGAAGGGCCAGGATTTGACTCGTGGAAAGGATTGGATTGTGCATAGGGATTAATGGAAGTGTGGTTAGAAGTGACGGTCGGTAGTTTATAATTTCTTTCCGAGTCACTGAAACGAACCTCCTTCGCATTGCGGAAGCTCTGAAATTTACTATTCATATTACTATTCTGCCAAGAGGAGACAAAAGACCAGCTGGCAGGAGCGAAAGGACTAAGATTATGCAGTAATCCGCCAGTCTTTGCCGAAGGTATGATATCTGCGGATCCACTGGGTTCTTTCCCAAAATTAGTCGAATTTTTAGCGGAATTATTATAATCTTCTTCAATTCGATCAACGTTCTTTATATTGGCAGTCTCTGAATCTTGCATCGTCGTGTGCTTGTAATGTTTCTCCAAGTTGTCCTCAAGTTCTTCAATTCTTAGATGTATTTTAAACCAGCGTTCGAAATCCGTGTTCCGATAGTTATGAGTTCTTACTTCGTTTTTGTTCTCTAATTTGTTCTGAAGAATTCGCGTTGCGCAACGATTGTTATTCACTATCTCGGCAGAGTCTCTTGTTAAGCTTGAGCTAGTGTTGCCTGTCATCTGCTGTAGTAAGTGTTCTTGAAGAGACGGCAAAGGTGCCGGTTGCGTGGTCACGCAAGAACTCTCTGCCGGGCCACAAGGAAGCGAACGACGACGTTTCCGCTCACCGTTAGTTCTGATGGTAGGCGACAGAGGGGACGCGTCTTCTTCTTCGCAACGGCAGTCGTGTTTGCCAGATTTATTGCAGGTGGTTTGCAGTCTGTCATCCACGAGAACTATTAAAGAAAGTAATTTATATTTGAATCATATTTGAATAAGAATCGCTTTGTGAAATGATACGACAATTACGAATCTTCGTATGTCGATATCAGTTACCTGGTAAGACGAGACCATCTGAATTTTGCACATTGCTGGATCCCATCGAAATACTCTTGGTGGGTGTTAATGCTCTCGCGATATCCTCCTCGTCCTTTTCTTTTTTCGGATGCAGCGAACATGTGAGTATGGGCACTTCTTCCATTCGCGGTAATGCCCACATGGTCACCTGAGGTAAAAATTTATGTCAATAATAAATTGATTACATTGATTTTAATTTTATCGATTGTACCGTCAATTTGTATATTTTATAACATGATTTTATAATATTACAAGTTCATCTTCAGTACCTTGATGGAATTTCCGTCGCCGTTACCAGCCAGAGGAAAGGTATGCTCCACCGACGTCTCTCGAAACTTGCTAAGATTATCCTCATTGTGCGATACAATTCGGGTGGCTATATAACTCGGCTCCGTACCGTTACTGCGAGACCACCACGCTGCAACCTGGCTAAAATGCAATCGGGAACGTACTGCTTGGTATAATCCTTGAAAATTCATTGGTTCTGGGCTCCTGAAAACAACCGAATACAGGTATGATGCAAAAAAGAACTTTCTATTATTCAGAAACTCAAAAATCAAATTGAATAGATAAAGATAAGTCCATCCGGAAGAAATAAGTATTATTATTAATTTAAAAATAATTTGAAATCAAGATTGAAACATTGATCTACATACAACTTCTTTGATATATATATATACTTCTTTGATTCATATTTGGATTTATCATTTTTATGTCATTAATTAGAATTGACATATACTTCAATTTTGTTTTCTAAATAAAATTATTTTACAGTACAGAAACCCAACATGACTTACTTGCTTGGAACAACGCAGATACACCAGTACTCCAGTAACATCTCCGAAGCACACTTCTGCCATGGTGAAATGGATAAGGACGGCACGGGATATACAGGATAATTGCAAGTGGACTTTGTCAAACCACACGGACAATCGCTGCACAAAAGCACCTCCACGCACAGGTATGATCCAGTAGCAAGGCGTTCCGTGATTTCCTGAATTAGTACTCGGTATCGATTGCACTTAAAAATTAAAAAAGAAATTAAAAATTAAAGAAAAAATGTAAGCGAAAATAATTTTTTTTATAACAAGTCAAATTCTATCTTCAATTCAATTTAGATCTTTATGTTTTAATAATTTTTCTCATTTTCGATAAATCTTAATTTATGTAACAACCTTTATTAATCATTCAATAGTCATTAAAAGGTTCGCATACAGTAGATATGTTATTTAATTAAATTTTTAAAACATGACGAAAATTTAAGAAATAAGTTGCGTAACGTAATAAATACAGTAATTCTGTTTCTTTTTTTTTTTTTTTTTCAAGAAAATGTATTATATAAATAATGATGATGTATATTATTGTTTTTGCAAAAACAAATTAAATTTTTTTATAACAAGTCAAATTCTATCTTCAATTCAATTTAGATCTTTGTTTTAATAATTTTTCTCATTTTCGATAAATCTTAATTTATGTAACAACCTTTATTAATCATTCAATAGTCATTAAAAGGTTCGCGTACAGTAGATATGTTATTTAATTAAATTTTTATGTGCGGGGCACTTGAATATTCTTAATAAAATCAGAGATAGGATCTCTCATTCGGTGAGTGAACAAATTTCTTGAACGGCTTTTATATTCTACTACGGCAAAGCTGCGCAAAGTAGGTCGCCTAGGAACAACGGAGAGTAACGGGGACACCATATGTTACGTACCAGATAGTTGTTCTCGTCGCACACGTGGTCGTTTGGAACCGCCTGCATAGGCGGTGCGCAGTGTGGGCCCTCTTTGTAACCACGCGGAGGGCCCTGGATTCTCCCTTCGCACACAAGGACTCCAAGGGCTCGAAACACGCTAAGAACACCACCCCGACCGCCAGCCCCGTTCGGGCTGGAGGTGCCTCCTCCTGTCACCGCACCTAGGCAGTGCATACCTGTAATATAAGAAGCACCGATGTTGATCACAATCCTGACATGTCACGATAGAAAATTCTAGAAAATAGATCTGCTTAACCGATTGTGAGATAATAAAGGCTATAAATGGAGAAATTTTATCTTGAAAAAGGGACTTTGCAGATTAAAAGTAAATGAATTTAACGTACAGATAAGAAAACAAAATGTAATGGTAAACAAATAAGATAATATGATAGTTACGATTTTTATTAATTGTATTTATTAATTGTAATTTTGAAGAGTACTAAAGTGACGAGCTCTTTAGACTGTTGTTACTACACTTAATTTTTTAAATAATTTCTCCTAATTAAGTTAAGCAGAATTAATTTAATTTTGTTCCTTTATTGTTTAAACGAAATTTTAATTCTAATGTTGACCATTAAATATCCAAAATTAAAGATTAAAATTTTGCAGGAAAGGATATATTGCATAAAGAATGGCATATTTTGATTCTCCAAGAGAAAAATCCATCTCAAATTATTCAAAGAGATTAATAAAAAAGATGATTGATTAATAGAAACTGTTCTATAGAACTTTTGCTGTGCACAATTCCGAAAGAGTTCTTTGGTCTCGATGTTGAGATCGTTTTTTTTTAACCAATCCAGAAAGTCCAGAAAAGAAGAAAGAGAATACGTATAGGGAAACGAAAAATCAGTCATTCAATTTCCAATAGATGTGCGAGTTATAACGATGCCAAGCTCCTACAGGAATGGATTACAAGCACGAACATTTTTATAAAGCCCTCGATTTGTCCTGAAAGGACTTATCACCATGCGATCGAAATCATTTTGCGATCTCGAAATACGTGTCGCGCGGGCCAACGTACTCGAGACGGCTCGTAGGAGCCTCCTGGATTTTTGTCGTCCCTTTAAATTTGTTGTTGTGTCACGTCCGCAGGACTGGTTGTAGCCATCGCGCGTAGTGCACGTGATGAAAGAAAACAAGGTGCAGTTCGCGGCCTGTCACGGCGGGTTACAGGTTTCCCGAATGGGTAGTACAACGACGGTCGGTAGGACCAATGCGACTCGCTCATCGCCGATTCGCACGCGAGTTTCGCTCACGATCCCGCGAGCAGATGTTTCAATGCCTTTTCAAGCGACACATTTAAATCACAGAGACGAAAACTGCAAACTCAACGAGTTCGAATTCCGAATTGCCGCACACACAAGAAAATGTTTTTACGTTGTCATATAAAGTCCATCCTTCTGTTTTACGATACCAAGTAAAACCAAGGTAAAAAAGATTATGCTGATTTCGATTAAATCTACAGTAGACAGAGTTTTTATTAACGACATTTTTATACGAGACTCGGCAACTTTAATGATAATGTCCGTGATCGATAGTCTTTGAGTCTATAGCGAACATTTTTATGCTAATGACACTTACGATGCAACACGGAATGCACGAACGAGCAGAAATCTTTTAAATTAATGAGATAATGTAATTGTGCAAATTGCGAATCGAATGACCCGCTAAGGCTCCCTTTGGTTATCCCCAAATATCACTATCTCGGATTTCGACTAATTATCGCGTCGAGTATTGTCGTTTAAGTAGCCAATTTCATCAATTGATTATCAATTACGTTTCTGTATCGTTCTAACGACAAACAAGATAAGTGTATCTTCCGCACCAGATAATGTTTGTTGAAGTGTATTAATCGGTGCACGATCACGTTTCATTGTAAATCAATATTTAGAAAGAGGATTATCGCACATGGAGGGAAAATTCAAAGAAATAAAAGAGTATAAAAATAGTTAAATTTCCCCCAGAATTAATCCTTAGCTACGCCCCTGCGTGTTTAACCGTGTTCGTCAGAAATTGTGAACCGAAGCGGCTGAGGTCGTCTCTTCGATTTTCAACGAGGCGCACGTTATCGGACGAGAACGGACGAAAGTTGATATCTCGGGCGGGCGAAAGAAAATTATTCAGCGTATCGTGAGCGCATCGCACGCGATCGAACGGGTCGCTAGAGCGCTTAACGTCGCGTTACATAAACGGAAAGCTAACACACGGCGGAAACCCGAGGTCTCTTAATATCCACTCTCGCTGCCCACGTTACGTCAGCGGAAACACACGCGCTCGCCGCTTGCTGTCCGGTTAGGACAGTCTCGCCGTGACTTTTTGTCTTTTCGATTTTATCGAACGAAACGACAAACGAGGCGACATCGAATGAATTTTCTCGCGACGTCGCGATCGTGCGCGAAATTCAAGATTTTTTTTTTTTATAACATCATCTCTTAGTCGCAAGGCTTGATTTGATTGTAATTTATCTCAACGCGATGTGAAACGAACGAATGCTGATGGAACACGTCGCGCGATTTTCGTATCGATCTCTCGTTAATTCGCGAAACCTTTCTTAGCGGCGACCCGTGCGAGGAAGGCGGGCGACCTGGCACCCGCGTACAGATTCGTTCCTGAGCACGTCCGCATGAGGGAGAAGGAGGGAGCGTGAAAGGAGTGAGAGAGGGACGAGACGGCATGTATCGATGGCGTCGTCAGCTGAGCGCACCGCTCACAGCTGGGCGCGAGCGACGCTGTCGCTCCCCGAACAGCTGATCGCGTCGTCGCGCGCTGTCAGAACATGGCGAGCCAGCGCGTACTGCGGATCGCCGCGTGCGAGAAGCGTACCGTCCATTTTCAGCTCGCGTTAACCCTCGAATCACATGCGTGAAATTTCCAGGGCCATAGGATACATTTCACATGTTGAAGATTTGATATATGCCCGCAGCTGTTACTGAGTCGAGCCTCGTTTATGAGTCAGAAGTCTGTGAGTGAATCACGCGCCGGTCAGTCTTACTTCTGATTCAGAAAGCCTATGAGGGATTCTCTCCCGCAAGAAATGATTTTCTTCAACCGCGAGAGGCTGACGCGCCTCGTCCTGAACCCCTCCTTCGAATCGAGACGCAATTATTAGACGCGATTAAAGAATAAGTAATGAATAATCAAATAAGATGGATTGTGGAGATGCGTCACGAATATTGAATTAATTCTTGAGATTTACGTGTTAACTAGAGTCGCGCCTTTAATTTAAATTAAGATCAATTTCATCCGAGTCCCTCGGCAACGGGGATTATCCTTTGAACCATCACCTATTTTGCACATGCAAAGTGATATTCATGCTTGCAGATGCGGATAATGAAGGCGTTAAAGGTTTTGCTCGGCTTTGTATAAAGACACGTCATACCTAATCATCCCGTTATCTTCGTTTATCTCTCCCTAGTAATTGAAATAATAAAGAACAAAATACGAAACACAAAGGAAATGGAATACGGTAGAAAAATATGACTCGCTGCAGCGAACACGTGTAATGACGTGTATACGTAAGTTCTTTTCAATTTTTTAAACTCGCGAGATATATATTCGTCTCACTTCTTTCATTGAATCTTTCGACAAAAATGAAATTAATGCTAATCAAATGAATTAGGTTTCTTCGAGATAACGCGCGGCGTATACGTCGATCTTGTCCGTTCTTCGACTGGCAAAGGAACGCTTTCAAGACTGCCCAGAAATAAACTCGCTCTTCCGGTAGGTTTGTCGGCATTTACGATGGCGAAACACGGCACTATCGACGAGAATATCGTGCGTATTCGCAGCGCACGTTTAACCCTCGGAGATAAAAAAACTTGATCACTATCGCGTCAAAGTTTTGAAGAAACTTCTCGACAGATTTGAATTTCTAATGTGTTCTAATAATATTTTCAAGATCGACATATAGCTTTTCATAAAGTAATACGCGAAAAGAAATTTTCTATATAAGAAAAATGCAATAATCACCGCTCGACTTGACCTTTAGCTTTAATATCTGCGCGTGGTAGTCAGCTAATCGTAGCTGATCACACAGCTGCGTTCTACGGTTCTCTCAGTTTTCTGTGCTTAAAGAATTCAAACAAAATCGACGTCTTTTAGGTAGGTAGGTAGGTAGGTAGGTCACCTAAAAAAATCTGGAGCGCCTATCTATCGGGTATACCACGTTTTACGAGCGAACGCGAGCCCGAAACTGGGTCGACTGGCCCAAGTAGTGAGGGGGAGCACGGTTTCCGGGCGAAGCTATGTCCCGATTCTTCATAAAAAGGCAAATCTCTGGTAATAATGGTAAACATGTAAAAAAAGGTTTTAAAATTCTACTAGTGATATTCTGAATTTTCTTTAACATTACAGAGCATAATTGTATCTCGTATGTCACGTTGTATTATCACGTATGGAAGAGGACAACCGGTTACGAGAATAAAATTAAGTAAGATAGAAAACATCTTGTTTGCAAAAGATTTAAACAGGAATTATATCGAGGCCGATATAAGATATCGGTAAGTGCAGCTTACTCTGGCACTGAACACACACTGGCCTGAATATCCTCGGTTCGGTTGTAAAAAAAATTACAACGGGATACGGGTTTTCAGTGACGTAGGTACATACGTAAGCGGCGGATTCGATTTGTGCGCGAAATTCGAGATAGATATTGTCGATTCCAGCTGAGTTTAGCAACTCAGCGACTTAATAAAAACAAAACCCGTGCACCGGTGAAAGCGAGTTTCGATGGTTCGGAGGAGAGAAAGGAATCATTGATCTGATTTCTTTCGTAAGAGCTGCTAGATGGTATATATTTGTAAGACGGTTCGCCTTCCGCGAAACGTCTCTTTCCATACAAAGTTCAGTTACATTAGACATAAATAATAATTTATACAAACAAATGCAAAGAGATACATAGATTTTATTCTGCATTTACGACTTAAATTTTATATATATCTTGTATTCTAAAATTAACCCTCTATATTCTTTCTTTGTGTTTCAGATATTACGATCTTTTCTGATTAAGTTTCGTCACTCGTGGATGGCTCGCCGAGATGCGGGGAACATCTCTCGACTTCAAATAAAGGTTCTGCCTGCGAAGGCAGGGCAAGCAGAGGCCGGGGAGGGTAACGAGGTCAACGGGTGGGAAGCAGTGGGTGCAGATCTAGGTTACCTGTATATTATGCAACCAACACTAGTGTAATTTCATGATTGCGCGTGGTAGCACATGCCTACATGCGCAACACGAAGTGACGACTACGAAAGTAATTGTATGCGCAATTGTTTCGCGGATGCGACGGTTATATTCGGTACAGCAGAAATATTTGCCGTTGTCTGAAATCGACCTTGTACAAAGATTCCTCAACGATCTCTTTCTATATGTCGCGTCGTAATCTACTCCAGAATTACGAAGGAGAACGTAATAAATCCGTAGCTCATTTATCTAATCTGCGAGATGTTCTAGAATCACACCGAGTATTCCTTCGATATCTTTAATTCAATTGCTCCTTAGCAACAACGCCAAAGGCGATCACCGTTCATCGTATCTTTTCAGTCTTTAATATTGCACATCTATAGCTGAGCTTTTACTTTTTATACTTAGAGTTCTGTTAATGTACGCTCTCCTTCTGCCTATATCTCCGGATCTCCGCGTTTGCACTCGGCAATTATTCGGCAATTACAAGCGCTCCGATTTTCGTCGGTAAAACTTGGAATTATATCGAAGAATTTGTAATAATATTAATGTTGCGAAAGCAGACCGCTACTTTTGGAATATCCTATACGTGTATATTTCTGTTCGCTACCGCGCGTCTCCTGATATCGCGGGGGCCTTACGTAATGTGCAAAAGACAGGGGACGAGAGAGAGAGAGAGAGAAAGAGAGAGAGAGAGAGAGAGAGAAGAGAGAGACCGAACGCATTTCCTAGCGTGTGCAGCCTTGTCGAGGGACGACGACGGTGCAACGCGCGCTGCACCTTCGGCCGCGGGTCGCCGCATATATAAGCGAACTTCGTATTTATAGGCACTCGCCATCAAGGCCGATCCGCAATTTTAACTCACGTGGACACGCGCGAGACCTCGGATTTTCCGCGTGACACTTTTTTTCTTTTTTCTTTTTTTTTTTTTTTATTTAACGTCTTAAGAACACTAGCCATTACTTTTATCGACGCTTCAGAAGAGCTCTTCTAAATAAAAAGAGGCATGCCTTATTTAGAAAGAATTTTCGTATCGCGTGAATTCGACGAAACGCATCGAGAACAATGTTAATTGCGCAGAGACATGCCATGTTGGAATTCACAAACGGAATCAATATTCAACGGATATTTATCAAAATTAAACCTCTTTACATATTTATAAAATTACACCTTATAATCGAGCTATAAAAATATTGGTATTATGTACGCATAGATATATAAAATTTTTGTATTTTCATTCACGTGAAGATGCGAAACGAAATGTTTGTACATCTGATATCTCTTGAATGTATGTGAGATAACTCGATACGCAAATTTATTTTTCAAAGCCGAAGATATCGGGCCTGAAAATCCGACGAGACTAACGGGTCTCGTCTCGCTCGATCCTACCGAATCCTCTTCTCCCTTTCACGAGGCCGAAACTCCACTTCGAGATTCGTCTGAAGAACGATCGGGGGAGCCAAACGTAGACCATTGTGGGCATCACCTTGAATTTTTTTAGGTAGACATCCAAAACAGCGGGGTTCAACGAACGGCTGAGACGACGCCCCCGTGTTGTTTTGACACGGCTCGCCGAGGGGGAGGGGGGGGGAGAGAAAGAGAGATACATGTTTCTCTCGACTGCATAGCCATAAAAGCAAGAGACTTAAACGAATCTGATTCGGCAGTGAACTTCCGAATTGCAATTTATTTGCCAAATAGCTCGATAAACGATCACACGTGCGATATGAATCTCTTCGATCGACTATGCCACATCAGAAACAAAGAGATTAATCGACACTGAAAGTTTAGCTTAAACTTTAGCAATGTTATCTGCTCTTACGCAATAACTGGAAGATATCGTTTTGATTAGTAACACGGGTATAAATAAACCATACGACTTTTTTTATTGTCCCAATAGCCGCTAATAATGTCTCGTAAATATCGTCTCGAACGTCTGTGTGTGTTAATATTATCGAAGCACAATTCTTTATCACATTGCAAGAAAATGACTCGATTTTATATCGACTAAAATAGATCGCTGATAAATTGTTCAACCAAATCTTGCCTTTTAAATAATTTTAATTTACATGAACGACACGACATAAATTTTGAAATATTGTAAATGAAATATTGTAAAAAAAGTTTATATCCAGGGATCTTCGGGTATAAACAAAAAATCTTTGAATTCGTTAATTATAATTTTTATCACAGATTCCGATTTCTTTGTCACCGACATCGACGAGGTTGCGTGAAAAATTTCCATTAGAAGCAAGAGACGAGTTAACGAACAAAGGTTTGTTTGATCAGAATATACATATGTACCAGTTTTTTTAAAGGCCACTAAATTCAATTCACAATGTAACATAGAAAAGATTTGTGTATATATGTGGACTCGTTGACGCAAGTACATTTCATATTCTTCTCACGTTAAAAAAATGCTATCGCGAGGGTAGAAGGGTTAAAATAGGTATATTCTCTCTCTCTCTCTC